TTAATAATGTTATAACATTTAATTAATTTTTTATTTGTTGCAACATAATAAAATAATTGTTGTTACCATCTTTATTCTAAAGCCTTTCTTTGATATGAATTCAGCAACAAGATTAAAGTTGTATTTTCCTGCTGTAGTAGTTTCACAGGCTAATTCACAAAGAAAGATTGAAGATAGTGAGTTTCCAGCTTTCCCATAAAAGTGTTCATGTATATCTTCAAAGCTTTTTGCTTCAAATCCAATAATCGTAATCGAAGCATATAAATGAGTATTTTAAATTTAAGCTTTCTGGAATCTTTTTGCATCTTTTTTTAGCTGAACTTATCATTTTCCCAAGATGTTGCTTTTTCTTTTCTAGTGGGACTAGACATGCTTTAAGATTCAACCTCTTATTAAATAAATCCTCTAATACAGGCCTTTCTTTTCTATTTAGCTATCATGGTGAACGCATCAAGCATAGATGTCACGCTTATTGAATGAAAAGCTAATCTCATGTAGGTATTCCCATTTTTTTGTGCAATGTCAGCATCCTTTGAACTTAATATAAATTTTTCCAGAGAAAGGTTATTTGTCATGATAAGGCTAGGATATAAAGGTATAAAATCTAGACCAGTTACTGACCTTTCCTTTTCAATACCTTTTTAGGTGGAAAAATGTATGTGTCAGGATATTTCCCTTTTACTATATTTTCACATACCCTCGTACTAAAAACTATATCTCATTTAATGGTATAAGCGTCTAGGAGATTTCGTACCTTCATTCCATTTACATGATAATGTGCGTCGAAAGAGATACATAAGCTATAAAAGTAACTTCTCTATAATCATTAATTACACTTAGTTTTACCAATAGCTCCTGATAATGCATTGCGTCTATAATGCAATAGTTAGCTACTTCACACATTTTTCTTGCAGTTGATGAGAAGGAGCTTTTTTCTGACTCCGAATATATTTTTCACATTTTATCATATGGCATGTCAGCCTTATTATCAAGACCACACTTTTGTAAGAAAAATTTAAGTAAACTTTTCTTTTCAACTTCAAAATGAGGGAAACATTTTTTAAGATATACTCAGACATCAATCGATACGTAACCTGGCAGTTTAAGAAAGCTAGAAGTAAAATCATCTTCTGCACTAATTTTGATCTTAATTGAATCACCCATATTTTTCTTTTTTTTCAGATCCTCCCCACTTTTTTCAAAATACTTAATAACATTCTTTGCCTTCAAAGCATTTTTAGAATTCTCTCCTATCTTTTTCACAGTATTTCCACTTTAGGATTTCTTCCTTTGTTTCAAGCTTTCCTGTTATTCATTCTTACATCCATTTGATTATGTTAAGGTGATAGGCTCTTTTCATAATGAAACACCAATTATAGTCTGAATCGTTAAATCCAACTAGAATGTCAGAGATAAATGTTCGCCAGTAGAAAGCAAAAGCTTTTAGCAGATTTTCTTGATTTCCACATATGATCATGATCCATTGTGGATTTGGTTCTGTTTTAATATCAACAAGACATATTTGTTTTAGTAGTTTTGGATCATCTTTCCAATGCAATGTCATGTCAATCATAAAGACATTATCATTCAGATTGAGAACTTCAGCAAATTCATCCAACTCTTGTGATTGTGTTTCTATATCTTATGTGAGGACAAAAGCAAGAGAGCTGAAATAGGGAATTGGTCACTTATTGTTGTAAAATCATCTAGTAGACAGAAATCTTCTATAGATACATAGAATTTATATGTACAGAGCGAGCTGGTTCACTTGCCTTTCTTGCATATATATTTATTTAATATAGATGACCCAGAAAGTTGGATTCCGTTTTCTCAGACCACCTTTCGGTGAAATGAATATAAATCATCTGAAGCAATTTTAAAATTATTTTCTTGGATAGCTCAAATAGCTTCCTTTTTTCCCATAGTACCATTCGTATAAATTCGTAAATATAGTTTTTTTTCCATATAGTATTCACAGAAAGGGAATGCTTTAATACATTCTATTTTATATGATTTCACAATGCCAGAGAGAATTTCATTCACCTTTTTTTCACATTCATCTGGAGTCTTTCCGTCTGGTACGAGAATGTCAAAAAAAACTTGAATATCTATAAAAGTTACTAGTACATTTTGACCATTAATAAGGCAACCATAAAGACACAATATATAGCGATACGTTTCATTTATTCTTTCTATTGATCCTTCATTCTCAATGGCTATGAATGGAATATCTTGTTGTTTAGATAAAGTATTTTTGAGAATTGAAGATAATCCCTCATCATTTTCTGTAACTATATTATCTAGTATTTGGATGTCTGATAAGTTTTTTTCACTGGAATAGCGAATCAGTTGGCCTTCCATTTTATCTTTTTTAGCCTCTGGGTGAAAAAGAGTGGGGGCGTCAGAGAGGAACTCTTAAAGCTCAGATTGCATCATAGTAAAAATTTTTAGTTATAATATCTAATATACTGTTTCAGTATAATACTCTAGTAAAAAAGTTTAAAATAAAAATAAATAATTATAGATATCAAAGTGTTATTTATTTAAGAGTAATATCAATGTGCGGTAAATACATTTGCCAGTAGTATTTCACATAGATCAGATCAGATCAGATTTGAGCAAAATCTAATTAGATCTGAATTTGAAAAATCTGAATCTGATTCGATCTGAATCTGACAAATCTGAATTCAATTTGATCTGAATCTGATAAATCTGAATTCAATTTGATCTGAATCTGACAAATCTGAATCTGAATTCATATCTGAATCTGACAAATCTGAATCCGTAACCATATCCAATGGATCAAAAAATTTTTAACAAAAATCCACCTCTGACGTTCAGATCGGCATTTTGTTATTAAAAATTAATAAAAAATTAATTTTTATTAATAAATGCTATGTTTGTCTTTCAGAGCAGTATTTTAATATAAAAAATTAATAAAATTAATTTTATTATTAATAAATGCTGCGTCCAACTTTCGGGGCGACATTTTTATATAAAAAATTAATAAAAAGTTAATTTTTTAATAATAAATGCCACATCAGACTTTCGGGTGGCATTTAAATATTAAAAATTATTAAAAATAAATTTTAATAATAAATGCCGCATCTAACTTTCAGGCGGCATTTTAATATAAAAATTAATAAAAATCAATTTTTTATTAATAAATGTTGCGTCTGACTTTTGGGGCGACATTTTAATATAAAAAATTAATAAAAATCAATTTTTTATTAATAAATGCTGCATCTGACTTTTGGGGTGGTATTTTAATATAAAAAATTAATAAAAATTAATTTATTATTAATAAATATCACATCTGACTTCAGAGCGGCATTTTATTATTAAACATTAATTTTTTCATAATAAATGCTGCCTCCGACTTTTAGGATGGTATTTTATTATTAAAAATTAATAAAAAATTAATAAAAATTAATTTTTTAATAATAAATGTCACGTCTGACTTTCAGGACAGCATTTTATTATTAAAAATTAATAACAATTAATTTTTTATTAATAAATGCTGCGTTTGACTTTTAGAATAAGATTTTATTAAAAAAATTAATAAAGTTTAATTTTTTAATAATAAATACTATGTCTGATCTTCAGGGTAGCATTTTATTATAAAAAATTAATAAAAATTAATTTTTTTATTAATAAATATCACGCTTGACTTTCAGGATAACATTTTATTATTAAAAATTAATTTTTTTAATAATAAATATGTCTTTGATTTTCAAAACAGATTTTATTATTAAAATATATTAAAATATAATAAACTTTATTTTTTTAATTATATATGACATTTTCAACTTTCAAAATAGAATTTTTTATTTTAAATCTAATAAATCAGATCTGAATACAAATCTGAATCTAATAGATCAAATTTGAATTCAAATTTAAATCTATCAAATTAAATCAAATCTGAATTTGAATCTGATATGAATCCAAACCCAAATTTGAATCTGATTTAATCTGATCTATCAGATCCAGATCAAATTAAATCAGATTTTTGTGAAATATTAATTAGAAACAAATAGTTTAATTTCAAATATTTGAAATTTAAATTTTCTAAAAAATAGTTTAAAGAAACATCTTTAAAATTATTACCAGCTAAAAATTCATTATTGAAAAGTTGATCTACAAAGAATTATCAAATGATCTACAGAAGTTACTAGAATTAATTTTATATCAATCACAAATTAGAAGATCTACATAATTCTGAATCCATAGGATTCTTAGGATTTTTAAGATTTAACAAATTTGAATGATCATCATGATTCATTGAATTTTCCTAATTTCCTATATTTTTATTATTTTAATTATTATCGTTATCTTCATTATTTTTATTATTTTTATTATCTCTATTATAATTATTATCTTTGTTATTATTATTATTATGATCATATTAGTACTTGTAACTACAAATTTAATTAGTTTGTAGCATAGCAACTAGTTAGCTGTAACAAATTAATTTTGTATAATAGAATAGCTTTTTGCTCAAGTTATAAATTAACTCATTTACGAGTTTTAAGTTCAAGTAATAAATAAAGGAATTAACTTTAAAAACAATTACTTTTTCCTTCTACGTGTTCATCATCTAGGATTTGATCATGAACTACTATACTAATTTGTGATTGAGTTCGTTCACGTAGAATAAATAAATTCTCTATGTTTTTCCCTAAGAAACTAAACCTTTAAGTTCGTAAAATCAAGTAAAGTAATTCCAAGGCATTCTGGATACTTGTAGGATGTGAGATTTCCTAAGATTGTAAAATCTAACGATAAGGAATTTACTTGCTGCAGTAAAGTAATTTAGCGAAATATGTGTGATACAAAGAGAATTTTTTCTGATGACAGTATATAGATATTTTTATTCAAAATTTATTATATATTTAATTTTATTGAAGTATTTTAAAATGCTACTAAATGATATATTCAAAATAATTGTGATTATTCTTTAAGGATTTAGAAAAAAGTTTTTGAAGTATTAAATTAGAAAAAATTAGATGTTATACTTGTAAAACTTGGAAATTTATAAGGTTAGCAGCAAAGAATTTTTAAAATACATTTCATATAATATGATATTAGTCTAAAAATTTTGGTTACAAATGATGATTTTATAATATACATACTATAGTAAAATTTTAATAGTTAAATTTATTAATTATTTAATTTAATATTTAAAATTAATGGAATTTATTATTAATTAAAATGTTTATTGTAATGTAATTTATAATTCAAGTAAAAATAAAAACAATTTACATATTATTTATTTTTTGTTATATATAATTAAAAATGTATTTATAATAATAAATAATAATATATTTAAAATAAAAATTTAATAAAATTAAGTACTGTATATTATAATATTTTTTTTTTTTAAAAAAAAAAAATATACTGTACTTAAAATAAATTGATTTATAATATAAAAAAAAAATTTATATAATAAATTATATAAATTCTTTAAAAATACTAAATCCTAGATATATATATTTTTTTATTTAATCTATATACATTAATTACTTAAAATTATTTTTCAATTCTCTTAATTTAGCCATAACTTGAATAGGATCTTCTTTACCAGTAGCTTTTTTGATGGAATCTTTATCAACTCTCATAAAAGGATTAAATTTCAATTCATCACCAATAGTACTTGGTACAGTTTGTTCATGTTCTTTTACCCACTGAATTTTTTGCTGAAGGAAATCATTATCAGGTTCAACAGAAGCAGCAAACCTTAAATTACTCGCAGTATACTCATGGCCACAATAAACCTTTGTATTTTCAGGTAACTTTGCTAAAATATTATTTAATGAATTATGCATTTGTTCTGCCGTACCCTCAAAAAATCTACCACATCCTCCAATAAAAAGTGTGTCACCTAAAATGAATTTTTTAAATAATTAACTTCCTTTTAACGAAAAATAAATTGATAAAAAATTTGTTTACCAGTGAATACAGCTTTATCTTTTTCATCATGTAAATAAAAACTAACACTTGCGCTAGTATGACAGATAGTAAATAAAGCTTTTACATTAATTTGACCAATTTTGAATTCCTCATTATCTTTTACAATCTTGGTCACAGCTGGAATACGATTATCACCTCCATAAACAATCAAATCATTCCTTTCTGAAATTAATTTATCATTTCCACCAGAATGGTCCTATATTATGTTATATAAAGAATACATTTATATGTCGAATCAATCAAAAATAAACAATAAAAGAACTTACGGCGTGATGATGCGTTGTGATCAAATGTTTGAGATTGGCCCCCTGTTCTTTAACAACCGCAAGAACTTTATTTGGTTCTACTGGGTCAACAACTGCAGCTATTATATTTAAATTTTTATCATTTAATTGGTATCATATATCAAAAATATCAATATTAAGAGAAGAATTATCTCAAACCTTCATTTGTCTTTTCATCGATAATCAAATAAGAATAATTATCATCAAGAACTAATTATTCGTTAAATAACGGCAATTATTTTTCAATTTCAATTAATTCACCCAAAGGCAACGAGAATAAAACACAAACCTGGAATTGGAATGACTTTCATATTGTTACGAACCGTCTTTCAAAAGAAAAAATTATTCAGAAATCGATCAGAAAAGCATTCCTTATATAGACTTTTTATTTACATCATCGAATCGACGTTACCTGGAATATCATTCTTTTTTTATTCACGCACATATGATTTACACTTTTCTTGGATAAAATCTTCAATCCACTCCGCAGCATCGTGTGAAAATGAAGAAAATAATTGAATCAAGACCTGTTCACATTTGCATCACCTTATGAATCTTTTTCCAAAAATCTTGGCTGATTCTAGTCTTACCCGATCTATCTTACTTTTCAAGAAATTTCGTGGTCGTGAAACCTATCATGTATGTCATTGAATATCTCATAAAAGGAAACATACACGGTTTTCCCATATTAGATTTAGTTGCGTATAGGGATGTTTCATCATCTATAAGATCGGATTTTTAGCATTACAAAAATATTATTTTAATTTCTTAAGACTAAACAAGCGTTATGGTGGAAGCTTATTATTTTTTATTTGTTAATTAATAAAGTACTATTTTGATGCTTGCTATAACACAGTTGTTAATAGCTAAAGTTCGAAATTAAAATGCGTTTACCGATTCTTCGCTGATCCAGTAAAGAATGGTAAATATTATATTCCGTTATTGTAAAAATCATAGAAGCCCTTCTTGTTTAAGCAAATAACATGTTATTTTAGAAATATAATAAATATAATGTAAATTTAGGTGTACCGATAGAAAACCAATCATCGAAGAATTACAACATTATGTTAAAGAGCAACAATGGTCATGCATAAGATTGCTCTGTATATTAGGTATTATCGGGATGCAATACTTAGTAAAAGAAACGCATGGTTCTATTTTATTTATTCCGGATGATCTAATATTGGAATAATTTGTTGAAAAGGCTTTATTTATTTTCCCCATAAATAATAGAATTTTGCAAAAAACATAATTCTTGGGGATTGATAAAAGGGAAAAATTACTTTTTATTATTGGCGAATTATATCAATAAAATCTGAAATGCTGTAGTAAAAAACTTTGTTGAGCGGTAAAAGCGCAGTATTTTCACATTATTTATATACGGTCCAATCTGATTCGATCCAATCCCAACCTTCAAATTGGACCGAAATCGGTCATATGATCGGATCGCGACCCAAAAACCCGTAGCATTAATCCAAAATTTTTTATATTTGTTGGCTTTTTTACCAAATTCTAATTTATAAATGGAGTTTACACAGCGATTACCATCAGAAGTTTTTCTAGCAATATTTAAAGAATTAGATTCAAAAACATTGTGTTCATTATCATTAGTTTCAAAAGGGTGTAATTCTTTTGCTATTGATAATCATGTTTGGAGTCAACTGGCTTTAAAACGTTGGGAAGGTAAACAAGGTATGAAAGAAATACATTCTGAACCTCATGAAATTTGGTTTAGAAAAGCTGGAACTTGGAAAAAAGTTTATGGTTTAGTTGAGCAAGAAGCTAGAAGAAATAAATTAAATACCGATGACTTGGCTGAAACTACGTGGTGTTTTAAGGTAAATATTTGATTTAACCACGAATTTCATCATTAAACTGTAGGTCTGTCAATTATTTAATATTATTCACCCCGAAAGATAGGATAGGATTTATAATTATTATTATATTATTAATAAATAAATTAAAAAACAACTGCAATTCATTTTATTGTACAGTTTAATAGTTTTGAATTTCCACATATTGGGACACCAAAATTTCATCGTAATGGAATATATACACATCGTGAAATGATGGGAGGTCAATTATCGGTTGGTATATTAAACGAATTAATCTCTTTTCTTAGCACTATTCTCACAAATATTAATCAAATTTCCCTTTAAATTAATAAATAAATATATATAATTATTCCTATCAAGTGGAAATTTACAAATGAAGGACAAGTTAGAGTCGATCAATTTCCTCCATTAAAACCATATAGATCAACAACGGATTGGTCATTTAAAATGAGAAATGTCCACATTACTTTCGCATCTACAGATCATAATTGTTTTCGTAAAAAGTTACATAAATTTAATCTAAATCTAATTGAAGAATTGGGTTTATGCCCTTCTCAATATATATTAAAAATGCCTGAACCTTCATATGGTATTTTAAATAGTTCAAATAAAGGTGGTGAAGAAAGTGGTGATGAGAATGATCAAGAAACTGAGGGAAGTGAGGGAAATTATAATGAGGAGAATGATAATGAGGGAAACGAGAATGGGGAAGAGAGGAATATCGCCATGGATCATATAATGGTTTTACCTTCTCGTCGTGCATTTCATGGTGACGACCATGCAGAAGAGATCAATCAAGCTGAAAATGTTCATAGAGGTCGCTATGTTATATTTTTTAGTTTTCCAAATTAAACACTTATTTATATTAAATAGAAAGTGTATTCTAGTTATTATTAATTTTAAATTAATAGGACAATCACAACAACTAATATGAATTCATTATTGATACAGCGTAATAATATATATATATATATATTTTTTAGTATTTTAAGATATTCTAATCAGGGTATAAAAAATCGATATTACTTGGAAAATATTGAAGGATGGGTTTGATATTTAGTTAATATTACAAAGTTTGTTGATTTTTATATTTAATGAAATCTAAGCATGAAAAATTAGTTTTAGATCCAGTTAAAACTTGATATCACACATTATATATATTGCTTTTATGTAATAATTAAAATACTTTTTCATATTCTTTATTACATTTTTTAAAGAAAAAAACCAATTTTCCTTTAGCTTAATTAATAGAAATTTTCAATAGATTTATTTTAAAATTTATATAATTTTTATAAGCCAAGTAAGTAATATTGGTAGAAATATGAAAATTTTTCTTGTAATTTTATAATAAATTTTGATTATAAGTTATTTACTTAATTATAAGTAAATCATTGACTTTAACATGATTTTTTGATTTAAACTTAAAAATTCTTAAGTTATATATGATCAAGTTCAATCCATTATAAAAATAAATAAATAGAATTTACTTCAAATCTTTAAAATAATGCTTATTCAAAAGAATATGTATTACAATATATAGATCAGATTTAATAAATAAAATTTAAATCTTTTTAATTTTATTTCCATTTTTTTTAGATCATATCATTTAATATAATAAAAAATTAGAGATTAATAGGATTAAATTGATTAAATTGGTTTGATCCAATTTAAAAAATCCAGTCTTTTATTTTTTTACAAATTAAACTGGTATATAAGTCAGTTTTTAAATTAGTTTTAAAACTAAACTTAAATTTGTTTGATCTAAAATTTATAAATAAATATTTAATTATTATTATATATAAAACATTTTATAAATTATCAATATTATTATTGTAGTTATTATTATTAAATAAACTTATTTTTAACAAATAGTATGATAAAATAAAAGATATAGATTATTATTAATAAAGATAGAAACTAATAAAAAAAATGAAATTTAAGTATAAGTTTATGTATTTCTTTTTTATATACATATTTTATTTGTTAAAAAAAAATAATAATAATGCTAAATTTTCAAATTAATATAATATTATAGTTTTTTACTACTTTAGTATCAATGGTTTTATTAAAAAACAACTTTAATTTAACATACATATTAAATTTATATCTACTTATTTTTAATATAAATTACTAATATATAATCTTACAGTTTAGAATTTATTATTAAATAAAATTTTATTACATTTTAATTGTTGTATATTTAGATTTTTATATTATAATTTTTAGTATTTATTTTTTTAATTCAGTTATGATCTAAAACCAGTTTTACAAAAATTGATTTAATCCTAAAAATTAAATAATTTTGAATATAAATAAAATATCAGTTTACAATTAATTGAATACTTAAAAGATTATTAGATTATTTGTCATATTTAAAGTTTTCAAAAATTATTATTACAAATGCAAATAACATAATATATTATTTAAATAATAAAACAAATGTTAAAATATCTAAATTATATTAAATTTATATAAAAAGCAAATTAAAGCATATATTAAAAACTTTATAAGTCTAGAAGTTGTATCTTATTAAACTTATATACTGTAATATACTAATAATTATAAAGTTATTTTTTTGCTAATTCTACTTATATAGGTTTGAAAAAAAATATTACACTTCTAATATTTTTAGTTTAGTTTAGTTTAGTTCAGATTATAAATTCAAATAATATTATTCTGAACTATTCTGATCTGAACTGAAAATTTTTAGATTAATCTAAAATTTCAGGTTATTAAATACTAATAAAAATCCTTCTAATAGTTTAAGCATGACTTTTATTAGTATTTTTTTAATATATGATATAACTGATAATTCAGTTGTGATAATAAAAGCTACCTCTGATAGTTCAGATGTAGTAGGGTAAAAATGGGGTTTCTGGGACAGAATTCGAAACAGCAAAAAATAGTACTCAAAAAAGATTCCTGACCATCCACAAATCAATTTTAGCTATATGAATCAAATTATCGAATTCAAGCCTCTAACGCATTTTGACTCAATTCTAGATAAAGTTATCGAACTTGACTAGGAATTAGCCTGTCTGATACCAAGAATTACAATGTTTGATTTAACCATTCTAGCCTGATT